CAATAGTAAACACCAATAGAGTAAAGAGACACCCCACAGAGTGGGGAAAAAAGTCTTGTCAGTGGTTCCTCAGACAAAGGACTAATATCTAGTATATATAAAGAACTCAAAATCACACTCCCAAATTTATTATTTATTTATTTAGTCTTTTTTATTTTTTTAAACTTTTTAAGCAGGGAGGGGGTGAGAGTGATGTGAAGAGCAGGCGTGGGGAGCAGAAAAGAGGAGGAGGGCTGCAAGGCGCTTGTTAGTAAGTTATGTAAGTGGGAGTAGAAAGGAAGAGGGAGGTTTTTGAAAAGCAAGGTGATGGTGATGGTATGGTGATGGGCAGCCTGGAAACACAGAAGGAGGGCAGGCAGGAAAAAAAATAGCCAGGCGCCCCACAGGTGGGCTGAACTTGACTGCCCACAAGTACGTAGGTAGACAGCAGGCAGGCAGATGAACATGCACCTTTTCTTTGCACCACAGGTTATTTCCTTGGGGTGGAGGTGAGGGTGCATGCACTGTTCCTGGAGGTACTGAAATACTAGGTCAACATGTGGAGTGGACAGAGCAAACTCCTAGTCCATCTCCCAGCTCCAAAACTCCACTTAATGTATTGTTCTCAGATAGAGGACATAGCAGATATTAAACTGGTAAGAACAGATACTATACTTGATCATAGCCAAAAGACCAAGAAGCAATATATTTTGTCTTTTTTTTTTTTTTTTTTTTTTTGGCGGGACCAGGGATTGAACTCAGGCCCATGCGCTTGCCAGGCAAGTGCTTATTCTACTGAGCCATCTCCCTGCCCCTATTTTGTCTTTTTGAGACAGGGTCTCACTATGCAGTTCACGCTGGCCTTGAGCTTACTTTGTAGCCCAGGCTGGTATTGACCTCGCAACTATCTTCCTGCCTCAGCCTCCCAAATTCTGGGATTACAGAAGTGTGCCATCATGCCTGGCCTACAAATGACTTGATCCTAAAGTGCCTTGTCTTTTTGCTGCTGTCGTTGTTGTTGTTGGTATTGGGAATTGAATTCAGAATCTTGTGCTTGCCAGGTAGATGCTGTGCAACAAAGTAATATCCCCAACTCTAAAGACTAAATTAAAAAACCCAATCCAGGGCCGGTGAGATAGCTCAGTAGACTAAGCGCCTGCTTAGGCAAGCACAGGGACCGGGGTGGTGCATGCCTGTAATCCCAGCGCTGGGGAGGCTGAAAAAGGAGGATTATTATGAGTCTGAGCTGTTTAGTACCAAATACATAAACACTTCTCAGGTTAAGAAGTAGAAATGAAAGCCAGTGAAATAGCTCAGCAACTAAGCACCTACTTGTGGGTTCAATCATAGCACTGGGAAGGTTGCAAACAGCAGGATCACTATAAGTCCAAGCTGTGTAGTGAGACCCTGTACCAAATACATAAATTAAAAAAAGGTAGAAATGGTAAATAAATATATGAAAAAATGTTCGAACTCACTTATCATTCAAAAGATGCAAATTAAAACAAAACTGAGATTCCATCTCACCCCAGAAAGAATGGCTATTCTCAAGAAATCAACAACAACAAAAATATCAGCCCAATATCAAATGCTAGGGAGATAGCTCAGCAGTCTAAGCACTTGCCTGGCAAGCGCAAGGACTCAAGTTTGATTCCTGGCATCAAATGCCATGCCAGCATGGTGGGGCACAGTGGTGCACGCCTGTAGTCCCAGCAATGGTGAGGTAGAGACAGGAGGATCACTACAAGTCCGAACTGCTTAGTGAGACCCTGTATCAACAATAAGAACAACAAAAAGTATCATACGACAGCGATATGTGCACACCCACAGCCCAGTTTGTAATAGCTATACTTGGAAATAGATCAAATGCCCATCAATGAAGGAATGGGTCAAGCAGACATGGTTATACATTTATATAAATGAACTACTCTGCCAGAAAAAAAGATAAACTTGAGCCATTTCCAGCTAAATGGATGTACCTTGAGACCATACTCTTAAGTGAAATAAATTGGACACACATATGTAAATAATGCATTGTCTCTCTGGTACAAGAAACCAGAAGTGTAAATAAGAATTAAAGTGTACAAATGATACTGAGAAATGGGAAGAAAATGTTAATGAGAAGGGGAACAAGGGAGGGGGAAAGGAAGGGACAAGAAAAAAAGAAGGAAACATTGGAAACAAAGCTTTTGTGAACAAGGAGGAGGAAAGGAATTGCAGGGAGGGCAGGTGAATGGGATAAAGGCAGCAGCAAGATATATTACGCAGTGGTATAAATTCTCTATGATGAATGTTATTATGTACATCTAACATGTACCAATATGGGCCAGCCAAATAGCTCAGCGGATAAAAGTGCCTGCAAAGCAAGAGCTGGGGGTTCAATCCCCCACCTGCTGTGCCAGCCCCGCCCCCCGGGGGTGCACCTAGGCAGCTACTGAGACTGGGCGTGGTGGCGTGCACCTGTAATCCCAGCTTTTAGGAGGCTGGAAATAGGCAGATCACTATGAGTTCGATCTAGTAGTGAGACCTTGAACACCCTGTAGGCCCTTCCCTAAAATACAAAAATTAAAAATAAAATAAACCAATAAATTTTTAAAAATCAGAAAACAAAACAAAAAAGAGGCAGCATGTGTGCTTACAGGCACAGAGAACCATGTGGTGCTATGCCCCTCCCTTCCACCCTGTTTGTCTTGTGGCTGATAAGAGAAAAAGCCTGAGACGTCTTAAATTTGATTACAAAGCTGGGCAAGTGGAGAAGAGAAATTAATCCAGTAATAGCTTCAGGCCAAGCCAACAAAAGACTGTTCCGCGTTGCTAAATCTCTATTGGGAGTTGTGCCTTAGAGCTGCAGGAGCGGGATCAGGAAGGTGCCGTGGAAGTTTATGAGCACAGCAGTCAGGCGCAGAGGTGCTTCTTACGGGCTGCCTTCCTGTCCCACCCGTCATCTACAGCCATGTAGATTCACTGCACATGATTCATGCTTTCCTTTCTCCCCAAGGTTTCACTACAAAATACCCTGGCTTTTTAGATGTGGTGCACATTTTCCGGCTGCTCCCTCGCCTTCTTGCTGGTGGCCTCAGGACGTACTCGGCACCTGTCTTTCTTCAGGCAAACATTTGTAATGTCTGATAAACCCCTTTCCTTCCAGAGATAGCGCTGTCTCAAAAGTTTTAGTTGAACAAGGAAAAGGGAGGAAAATCAGGGCTGGGGAGCTGTATTCTAGCCCAGGGCACTGGGACTTGGGGCAGGCAGGCAGGGCTAAACTGGGCTAAAACCAGAGCTAATCTGGGCCAGATAGGGGTGGGGCAAAGTGACACATTGCTTCTGCTCCTGCCCAGCTAGACCAAACAACAGCTATAAGAATAATATGGGTAGGGAGGTGGATGACAGCCTGGCCTGGGAGCTCTTCTCAGGCCTTTATCTGGAGAAAGCTGAGGCCAGGGAGGGTATTAGAGCCCTCGTTGTGCAGTTTCACCACGTGTCCAAGGCTGGCTTCGGAGCACCTAGGAAAGTACCACCCATCTGTCTCATGTGCAAGGTGATCCAAGGTGGGTTTCTGTGTTCCCCCTCAATATCCTCTGGACTAACGTAGGGTGACATTTCTGTAGGTGCTGTACCAGCTTCAGATTGTGGGGACACTGGCCTGCATCCGAACCAGCCCTATTGTCTTGCTGATGGCTCACATCCCAGGCAGCCCAGGCACCCATGGGAGCAATTAGTGAGTGTGAAGAGTTTCCATGGTGGCGGTCCCCAGGGGGGTACACTAGGGCTTAGGAACAAGGGCCGGCAGGGCCTTTCTCCTTTGTCTTGGGCACACTAGGCCTTTGTTCTTGCCTGCTCTCTTTGACAAATGGGACCAAGAGTGTGGGTGGGGGGAATGACTTGAGTTAAGAGTCCCCCACTCCAGGGGTTCCTGATCAGCCTGGGGGAAGGGCAAAGAGAGGCAGAATAGGGGTAAAAGCCCCAATCCTGGGCCCAGCCTCCACTGGGGAGCCCTCTTCCCAGAGGCACAAAACCTTACCTGTCCCCAAGGGGTTGGGGCCAGACAACTTACAGTTGGTTCCTCTTACTGGTAAACACCTTCCCCACCAGCCAATGGGTGGCCCTGCAGTGTCCCAGGGCAGGACCAGGGCTGGCCCAAGGGAAGGCAGGGCTGAAGGGGGAAGCGGCAGCCATCCGGGATTGGGGGGGAAGGCATTTGATCCAATTCCATCCAGGCATCTGCTCAGTCAGACTTTATTCCAGAACGCTCAGCAGCCCTGGGGTCCCTTAGCTCAGCCAGCAGTCTCTGCACCCCTTCAGTGCCAGCTTTCATACTGCTACCAGATAGCTGGTGGCCAGTCTGGGTTCCCACCAGCCCCTACCCTGTGACCTCCCTTGTGCCTGACACAGAGCAAGAAGTGGGGGAATGTCTCCTTCCTGGATAAGTGGTGCTTGTTGAGAATGGAGGCAAGTCACCAAATCCCGGGAGTAAAGTGCGGTGCCCATTTGCAGGCTGGCATCAGCCATTCAGGTGATTGTGACTTGGGGGAACTGAATCCATAGTACCTCAGAAACGGGTGTCTAGGAAGGAGCTTCGATGCGGTCTGGGGGTGCCCTCTATGGGGGGTCTTTGAGCCCGAGTCAGCAGGCCATGGAAAGTCTTGCCACGGGTCTGGGGTTTGCGCCGCGGTGGCCTGGGCTCCTCTGGGGGCTGTACCACAATTTGAGGTATCTCAGGCTTGGTGCCTCCTTGAGCTCCTGCTAACTGCTGGGCCTCAAAAATGGCTTGGGCCCCCGGAAGGCGGGCCTGTGGCTGAGGGGATGGCCCAGGCGATGACTTGGGCAGCCGGGCTAGCTGAACCTTCATCTCTCGCTGCAGGTCCTGCTCTGACAGGGCCACGCTGTGCACCTGTAGGAAGCGGTTGGTGCTGAGTTTTCCCGGACTGGAGTTGGGACCGGAAACCCAGAGGTCCCTGTCGGGTAGGCAGTAGGCAGTACACAGCTCCAGGAAGTGGCTGAGGGCTGAGGGGCTTGCAGACAGCCTTATTGGAGGAGCCACAGAAAGCTCGCTGACTTTGGGGTTTTCATATTCTCTGCAGCTCAGACAGCAAGAACTGAGCCTGGTTCTTATTTTGGTTACGTGATCTGTGACTCAGTTTCCCCTGTTTTGTAACAGGGGCTGGGCTATTGAGGGGGCAAGCAGGTGGCACCTACCTGGGGCATGAAGATCTCCTCCTGCAGTTGGGCGGGAGGGATGGCTCGAAGGGCACCGAGTGTCTCCAGGAGCCCCGGGCAGGCCATGCGCTGCTCTGCAGTGCCCAAGGCCAGGCGCACCAGTGTCAGCCCCACACGAAACAGTACCTTGGCACCTGCAGGCCAGAGGTGGGGCAGGGCTCACCCACTGGGAGACCAGCTCTGTGCCTCCAGCTCTCCATTCACACCTGTCCTCAGCCACACTCATGCTGCCTTCTGCCCTGCCCCCAACTCAGGCCAGGAGCAATGTCTGAGGGAGACTGTAGTCTGGGGGTACAGGAACCTGCACTGGCCAAGCTGGTCTCAGGAGTCCCAAACACTTCCAGAGAAAGCAACCTGCCAGGAGCCAGGGACTACTGTCACCCTCATCCAGAGCCTTCATTGGACCTCGCACTCCTCCTTTCCCATGAGGAGTAAGGAATAAGCTCAGTGGGTACCTGTCAAGGCCTTTCCATTTGGATCTGCAACCCTTTGATCCTAGAAATACTCTAGGCAGAGCTTCTCTCACCCCTAAACCACAGCATGGTGCTCACGTGTGTACATGCTCGCTCACACAGTGACCTTAGGCCAGTCCTGGAGTCTCACACCGCCTTCCTGGCAGCCTCTGGTCCTCTGAGAAAAGCTGCCAAGGGATCAGTCAGATCTACTGACAACTGTGACTTGGGAAGGAACAATCACACTGCTAAGGTCATCATTGCCATTAAAGGGAGCCTAGGCAAAATGTCCTCAGGCCGAGGAGGCAAGAAAGGGCTCAGCCACCACAATCAGTCCTGCTTGGAGGTCTGAGGCTGGAGAGGATGGATGTGACAGATACATGGATGGTGACTTGGGATACCTTAGCGAGAGCTCCAAACCAGCAAGCGGTCCTTCCTTGTGTGGAAGATCTAAAGCTAGCTGAGCACATAGCAGATGCTCAGTAGACATACTAATTAATTTCTAGTATTTTTAGGTGCACCTATTGGACACCACATATACAACATAATGCAAGGGGCTTACTGATGGGCAGGGTATATCAAGGAAGAGTCCTAAAGACCCAATGGTTAGCTCAGCTGTCTTGATGTGCTCCCTGCTCTCTGCCCCCAGCATCCACCTTTCCCACTTAGTCTTTTCAAAACCATTCTCCTGTATCAGCTGGAGCTGAGCTGTCTCTAGAGATTGAACCCAGGGCCTCCTCAATGTGAGATAGTCTACCACTAAATGTTCTTATGACTTCCTCCTCTCTCGTGCTCTCTCTCTGTCTCTATGTGTGTCACATCCCCCAGAAACATCTTTAAAAACAGCAATTACTTCCTGCTGCTCTCCTGACACTCTCTGTCACATCTCTTGTTTTATTTTCTTCATGGCACTTATGACATTCTATAAATATCTTGTTAATTTGTACCATCGCCTCCCATCCCCACCTCCACTAGAAGAAAGGTCTCAAACTCAGGTATTTCTGGTTCTGGATCCACCCAGGCCTGGTGTTTGTGGGTGCTCAGCAAGTGCCTGCAGGCTCTGAGGAGCACCTCCCTCTGGAGTGAGCCCTCAGACTCCATGGACTGTGCTTTCCCACTTCCTACCCTTGACCTCCCGGGGAGGCCTTCCTTGCCCCAGCCTTGCCCATGGCCATGCCTGGCCTTCCTACGGTGCTCCTCATTGTGGGGTGGGGGCGCCCATGCATTACACTCATGGCTATTTCTCCAGAACCACACACATGCCTCAGAGGGCCCAGGAGTGGCAGTTCCTGAGCGCAGAGAACTCAGAGCCAATCAGCTAGCTCCCCAAGGCATCCCAAGGCTGCAGGCGCCAGCTACAGGGCCACCCCACTCACCCTCACTGAGAAAGGCATCCCAGATGCGCAGCACTGTGGGGAAGGGCAGGGAGCGGGCGAAGAGGCACAGGAACCACTCAGGGAGGTAGAGCAGGGGCCCGACGCCCACCTGCTGCAGGTGCTTGTGAATGCGTGGGAGCAGCCGCCGCAGCAGGGCCATGAACACCTCAGCATCCAGCTGCACGGCCTCCTGTGGCCACGTTCATCAGCTTGGAGGGCTTGCCACCCCAGACCTCCTCTCCCAAACCCCAGGCTTCTACCCCCCTCAGGTCCCACACCTCCACACCTCCTGTATCTGTCTCAGCCTCTTACCATGTGGGGCCCGTAGTAGCCAGGAAGGTAGACCTCACAGATCTGCACCAGGCACCAGAAGGCCTCCTGGGGATGGCACATGCCTGTGAGTAGTCACTTAGGAAGCAACCATGGAGGGGTGGCAGGATGGGAAAGGGGCTCAGGCATCATGAGGAGCCTGGAGTCAGCCATGCCTACCCTGCTCAGTGCCTGGGAGGCTCTCACCAAAGCCCCTCATCTTCTAAAACTTAGGCCTACTGATAGGTTTAGGGATTGGAAGTCACAAGGCTCAGGGTGCTAGATTTGAGGGTTGGGGCTCACTGAACAAGGGTTGAGGAAAGGTTCCAAAGTTCAAATCCTGGATTCCTAGGGTCACTAGGATCAGAGCTCATAATCACGGGGTTCAGAATAAGGAGTTATAAGGCAAAAGTAAAAACATCAGACTCTTAGGTCCTTAGGGTAAGGGTTTCAAGTTCTTGGAGTCAAGATCATTAGACTTGAAAGTCACTGAATTTAGTGGTCATGAGGCCTTGGGTTACTGGATAGAGTTTAGGAGTAAAGGATCCTAGATTCCTGAGGCTAGAGTTACTGAGGCTGGGTTGGGCTGGGTTAGGGGTGGGGTCTCATGGGACCAGAGCTCAGGATCACAGGGGTCAAGATCATTAGGGATGGAGGGTCAGGATGGAGTTTACTCACCTCTGGGGGCAGGTGCATGAGTAGCACAGCTGCTACAGGGCCCTGAGCCTGGCAGTAACCCTGTTCTGGCCGATACAGGGTGTAGGCCTTCAGTACCTGCAGGAGACCCTGCTGCCTGTGCCAGAAGACCCCCATTAGGGGCTAGCTTTCCAGGCATCCCTTCCCCACCCTTTATGGACTCTGCCCAAGCTGCAGCCTCCCCCTGGGCCTAGCTGGGTACCCTGGAATGCAAAGATGTAAAGCTAGAGTACAGAAGCTAGGCAGAAGCATCTAGGTGGTGGAGGCCTAGGGTTCCTGGGCATTGCTGGCCTCGTACCCATGACCCTGGGGTGACACAAACATCTCGTGCAGAGGGAACTGGCGGTGCAGGTCCCTGCCAATGGTTTCCATCCACTGTGGGTCTCCTGGGGCTTCTGCAAGCTCCTGCGGGCAGGCAGGCAGATAGGGGTGGGTTCTGGGTAGTAAGGAACTCTGGGCAGGAGAAGTGGGACTCTTGCCAACTCCCTCACCTGATAGGTACCAGGGTTGTTCTTTTGACACACTTGAGCCCCACACAGCAGGGGCCAGCAGCGGGCCCGCAGGGCTGAGGGGATGCCTTTCCGGCACTGAATCTTTACCTGTGGGCAAGGCCAGGGGGCTCTGGTAAGCAGCCTATTTGTTCCTGCTGGCAGACCCCAAGCACAACAACCCCTCAGTCAGGGGCCAGTGGGAGGCACTTGGTGATAGCACGGTGAATTTTGCCAAGGCACGTTAGGAAGCAGAGGGGAAGGAGCCAAAGGGGCCAGGAAAGATCCATTCTCTCCTCACCTTCTTGTACCGTCGGGACATGGTTTTCTCCCAGTGTGAGGTCATTTCCACCCACTTCATCTCCCGCTGGCGGATGAGATCTGCAGGGGGGTAACCTGGCCTGTGGGCACATGGCAGGTATGCTGGTGATGGCAGCTGCTTCCTACAGCCCATACCTGCTCCCTCCAGGCTGCCCAAGTGAACCCAACATCTGGCCCTGGAGATCTTTAGGGAGTTTAGGGGGTAACCTGTGACCCACAGCTGCAAAAGGCTGTCATAGGGACAGGAAAGGATGTGGCTACAATATGGGCAGAAGTAGGGGAGACTGGGTGACTGGGTATCTATTGGGGGAGGGGCTGGCTGCCTGTCACCCAGGTTAAGGAAAGCTTGTTGGCCACAACCCTAACTGGAAGCCAGGAGTCTGCTTCTGTCTCTTGATCTGCTGTGTTACCCAGAACAGGTTTCTTTCTGTCTCTGGACTTGTTTTCCTGTTTGTATTTTGGAGAGGGAAGAGGGTGGGGGAGGAGACGTAGTTTCTGTGATTTGGACCTGAAGTTTCTGGGCCAGAGGTTAAATGAGGAAAGATGTTCACGCCCAGGAATGGGTGCAAACCCTTGGAGGCCAGCATAAAAGATATAAAGAAGCCTCCTTCCACCTTGGGGGTCTCCCTGTAGCCTAGAGGAGAGTCCCTTATCAGGTCTCTACAGCCAGATCCTCCTCATATCCTCCAAGTTGGGCCTCACTCCAGAATTCAGCCCTCAGCCTCCATCCTCAGTCTCTGATCCCCACCCAACCCCCATTTCTGCCCCACTTACCCTGGCTCCAATGAGCAGCCCCCAGTGAAGCCATAGCGATCTGCCTGGCGATATGGACCAGGCCCACTTAGCTCTGAGTCGGACCCCAGAGAGCTAGAGTCATCTTGAGGCTCCGAAGTCTGTATCAGGTCCACCCCCAGGGCCTGGGCCATGCTGCCCCAGACCCCTGATGCCACAGGCTGCAAAAAATGAGAGCCAGTGTGAGGGTACCTCCAGATCCACTTGGGGCCTGGGTTCCCAGTTAGTCAGGTCCAAGCCTTCAAGCCTGGCTGTGCAGTCAGAGAGATTAGCTTTCATGGATCTCTCCCAGCCCACTATGGGCTCTCTTTTATTGGGGAGTGGGCTGGGCCCTGAAGCAACAGCAAAGCCAGGCCCAGCCACTGGCCCCACCAGTTTGGCTCACCTCACAGCTGCCGCACCTCACCTCTTCCTCTCACTTCCTCTTTAGGCTCAGTTTCAGCAACCCACTGAAGGCCCCTCCCAAGTTATGGGGGGGTCACCGCTTCCTCTCAGAGGCTCTTCCGGCCTACCCCAGTACCCCTGGGCCACAGGTTCCTCCCCCCTCCCCCGTGCTTGATGTGATAGGGCTGCACCCTGTCAGAGATAGAGACCTAGCCACCTCAAGGTTTGAGGTTACTCACACGTAAAACAATTAACTCAGGGTTCCAACAAGACTTACACTTTAATGTTTGCTCTTTTTTTCTTTCTTTTTTGGGACAGGCTCTTGCTATGCAGTTTACACTGGCCTGGAATTATGTAGCCTAAGCTGGCCTCAGACTCGCATGATCCTCCTGCCTCAGCCTCCCCAGGGCTGGAGTTACAGGAGTGCACCACCATACCCAGCCAACTACGGAATTTATATTTTACATATTTAATTTTTGTTGTTGTTTTGAGACAGTCCCACTATGCAGTCCAGGCTGGGCTCAGACTCACAGCCATCCTCCTGTCTTAACCTCCTGACTGCTGGGTTTAGAGGTATGTGCCACCACGCCCGGCTGGAATTTACATTTTAAAAAATTAACTGAGCATGCAATGTGGACCAAAATATACTAAGAGTTCAGTGGCAGATATTCTAGAGTTTGGGGAGCCATGGAAACCCTAGTGACCACCCTCTAGCTATCCCTGAATCTCGGGAGAGGGGTGGGAAAACATTGTTTAGCTTTTGAAAGGGAAAAACAGCTTTCCAGTATTTCCGGGCCCAAATCTCCAGAGGAGGAGTTGGGTAATTGCTCAAGGGCGGTGCCAGCCTCAGATCGTGCCCCTTCAGAACCACCCCCGAGAAGCCCCGCCCGCCACCACTTTTTAGCCAGGCCCCGCCCCAACCTCTGAGCCACGCCCATCTCCCGTGGTCCTCGCCCCCAGCCCACCCCGGCTGCTGCGCTTCCAGTCCAGCAGAGGCGCTACAAGGCGGGGAACGGCAGGGCGGGCGGCCGAGGAGGCGGGGCGGCGGGCCGGGGGCGGGCTGGGGCGGACGGAAGGAGCGCCAGGCCGGAAGGAGGCTGCGGAGGGCGGGAGGCAGGAGCGGGCCCGGAGCTGCTGGGCCGGAGCGGCGGCGCCGCCATGTCCGACAGCGAGAAGCTCAACCTGGACTCTATCATCGGGCGCCTGCTGGAAGGTTGGCCGGGGTGGGGAAGAGCCGCGCCCTGGTCCCCAGCCCAGCCCGGAAGTGGCCGCGGGCGGGCCTGAGCGTCCCGGGCCAGCTTCGACTGGGCGGGGACGGGCCCCAAGGTCCCCTGGTTACAGCTCCCCCACCGTGGGCGCGTCTCAGAGGTTTGGGGCACGCTCTGGGCAGACGGAGCAGTCCCTTTTCCTGGGCTGGGGGCGCAGGGTGGCCTGGGTTCTTGAAGTGAGAAACATGGAAAGCCTACCCCAGAAGGGATCCTGCGCTGTGAGGTTGTGGGCGACAGGCTCTACTCACAGTCCCCCATCAAGAGCTCCCAGGGTAGTCTTGTCTGGGGAAGCTCAGCAACAACTGTCCCTGGACAGGAAGTGCTCGGTTATCCCTAGAGGTCCCCATTGGATCACCCGTGTCACCCACCGGGGCCAGGGTCGTAACATCCCATCCCTCCCCCAGTTCAGGGCTCACGGCCTGGAAAGAATGTACAGCTGACAGAGAACGAGATCCGTGGTCTGTGCCTCAAATCCCGGGAGATTTTCCTGAGCCAGCCCATTCTTCTGGAGCTGGAGGCTCCCCTCAAAATCTGCGGTGAGCCTCTGCCCAGACATCTTTGGCTTCCTGAAAGGCACAACACTCCCGCCCCCAAAGTTCCTGGATCCCTCCTCCCTTGAGCCCATTCTTGATCCTAGGTTCAAGTTTACACCTTGCACCTAGCTTACCAGGTACCCTGGGTCACAGGTGATATCCATGGCCAGTATTATGACCTCCTTCGGCTGTTCGAGTATGGTGGCTTCCCTCCGGAGAGCAACTACCTCTTCCTGGGGGACTATGTGGACCGGGGCAAACAGTCTTTGGAGACTATATGCCTGCTGCTGGCCTATAAGATCAAGTACCCTGAAAATTTCTTCCTTCTCCGAGGGAACCATGAGTGTGCCAGCATCAACCGTATCTACGGCTTCTATGATGAGTGTGAGTGGTCTGAGCGTTGAGGGCTGTCCCGGGCTGAAAACTGCATCCCCTGCTCTTCATCAAGCCCTCACAGCTCCTTGATGGACTGTAAGCTAGTCAGTGTCTCTTCCTTGCCATCTTTGGTCTGGGGCCTGACACTCAGGATTGGCATGGTGACTAGATGCTGCTGGAGGGCTGCCTGTCAGCTGAAGTTTTCCTTGAGGGCTCTGTCTAGTGACCCTTTTCTCTAGGCCATTTCTTGGGCACTTAGATGTATATGTAGACCAGACTGTGCTGGCCTAAAGTGGAGGTAAAACAGATTTGGTTTTGGCGTGGATCTGCTCATGGGATGGGAGTGTATGCCAACCCTAACACTGGGCCAGAATGGAACTTGGGTTCATCTGCACTCTGGTGCTTTAGAATTACTCTAAAAAGGCTGGTGGGGTGGGGGCAGGGGCTTGAGTCTTCCTTGCCTTCTGTTCTCTTCTGCTGGCTACCTGTATTCCTGAATAGCCCACAGTGCCAGGCTAAGGCTGGGCTGGGCTGGGCTGCACTGGGCTGGGCTGCACTGCACTGCACTGCACTCCACTCCCCATGAGTTATCTCCTTCCTCTGAGCAGGCAAGAGACGCTACAACATCAAATTATGGAAAACCTTCACTGATTGTTTCAACTGCCTGCCCATTGCTGCCATTGTGGATGAGAAGATCTTCTGTTGCCATGGAGGTGAGGGTAGTTATGGGGTGCCTGCTAAGAGAATTCTCAGGCCATATCCTTGGAGCAAAGCTGTGAGACGACTGTTCCAGTCACTTGAAGCAATTCTCGTTGATATCTTGGATGTCAGTTCTTGCAGGAAATCATCCCCACACCTATTAGGCTTCCCTCTTTCCTGTTGTGGCATGTGGTAACCTGCATGGAACTCAGTTGTCTCCCTTCTCTAGGGAGCTGTGTACTTCCTAAAGGCAGGGACATCTCTGTGCTTATATTTGGGATTTGAAAAAGCCCCAGGGGGATGAGTTCTACCTGTCTGGGCTCCCATGGGTCCAGGAGAAGGGCCAAATGGTGGTGTGAATGGTAAAGCTGATTTCCAAAGGCTTCCTGGAGGAGGAGGGGTCCTTGTTTTGAAGCTTAAAGTGTCTCTTGTTTTCTCCAGGCCTATCCCCAGACCTGCAGTCCATGGAGCAGATTCGGCGCATCATGCGGCCCACAGATGTGCCTGATCAAGGCCTGTTATGCGACCTGCTGTGGTCTGACCCTGACAAGGATGTGCAGGGCTGGGGCGAGAATGACCGTGGTGTCTCTTTTACCTTTGGGGCTGAGGTAGTGGCCAAGTTTCTGCACAAGCATGACTTGGACCTCATCTGCCGGGCACACCAGGTGGGCTGGCAGTCCCAGGTAAGGGCAGAAAAGGGGAGTGGGCAGGCCAGACTTGGACCTGACTGTTCCCATCCTTTCTCAGGTGGTAGAAGATGGGTATGAGTTCTTTGCCAAGCGCCAGCTGGTAACACTTTTCTCAGCTCCGAATTACTGTGGCGAGTTTGACAATGCTGGTGCCATGATGAGTGTGGATGAGACCCTCATGTGCTCCTTCCAGGTGGGCTCTGCAGAAGGGTCTGGTGGGCCCTGCAGTTGGCTCTGCAGGATACTGACCAACTTTTTCTTTTTCAGATCCTCAAGCCCGCTGACAAGAACAAGGGGAAGTATGGGCAGTTCAGTGGCCTGAACCCTGGAGGCCGACCTATTACCCCACCCCGAAACTCGGCCAAAGCCAAGAAATAACCTTTGTGTGCCACCCCTCTACCCCAGATGGATTGATTATAAAGAAATCATGCTGCCACTGGGGTCACAAAGGCCCTTCAGGCCTACCCATCATGAGGGACACGGAGCCTTGGTGTATTTTTCTTTTTTAATGAATCAATAGCAGCGTCCAATCCCCCAGGGCTTCCTCCCACCAGCAACTGTGGTGGCTGCAAGCGGGACCCTGGGGCCGAGGCTGCAGCTCAGGGCAATGGCAGGCCAGATTGTGGGTTTCCAGCTGTGCTTGGCCACAGGGCTGGCAGGATCCTGGGGTAACCCATCTGGTCTCTTGAATAAAAGTTAAAGCTGGATTCTTGCCATGGCCTCTGTCTCCCTTGTCCTAAACATTGGGCCTAGCAGCCCTCCTGCTCAAAGCCATTTGGGATGTCATGTTTGCTTGGCACAGGCCCAGCCAGGACAATCCCAGGCATGCATGTATGTATCCAAGACAGAGCCAAAGAGTATTGGCAAAGCAAGCAAAGACTGCCCGCTGTTGAGGGTTCCAAATGTGTGGGCAATGCTTGGAGAGATGGTTCATGAGTAGAGAAGGTGGACTGGCAGTGATTACAGCTCCACTATGATTTTTTTTCTTTAGAGAGGTAAGCCTAAGGATGATGGGCTTTTGGCTCCAGTCAGATAGTTGGAGGCTCTACCATAAATAAAGGTGAGGTACCCTTTATCAGGTGGCAGTCTTTACACAAGGCCCAAAAGACTGATTGCCAGAAGGGGTGTGTGTGGGTGTGTAAGTGACAGGGCCCAGACCAAGCACATAAGGTACATGACTGTAGGAAGGGTATGTGTGTGTGAGAGAGAGGACCCAGGCTAAGTGCAGCCAGACAGGCGGAGCCTTTTTGGGAAGTAGAACTGCCAGCTGTAAGGTCCAGTACAGCCCCTTTCTCACTGCTACCCCAGCACTGAGACCCAGCCCTGCCACACTGAGACTTCTAGTCCATGGCCTTAGGACACAGACTTCAGGTTCATTCTTCAGCCTTCACCATCACTGTCTTCAGCCAGTACAGGGTTTGGGCCCTGGGGAGAGTGTGGGGGAGCTAAAATGGAGCCAAAGAACAGCGAGCGGAACTGGAAAAAGGACAGGAGACCGAGTAAGTTCTGGAGGCGGTATCTTTCCCTTGCCACCTCCTCCCTGTCCCCCATCTTTAGTCCCTACCTTCTTGGGTGGGGGAGTCCCAGGCACTGGACTGGGCTCAGCTTCATCCTCGTCTTCCTCTGAGTCAGGGCCAGGGTTAGAGTGGTGCTGGGGGCCAGGTGTAAGGGAAACAGAAGGCAGTGCCCGTGAGCCCTCACTTCCTACAGTGGTTTCCATGGCAATCATGTACGAGTCAATGTCATCACTGGCAAAATTATCCTGGTGGGCTGTGCTGTAGACAGAGACAGTATCAGCAAGGAATAGGGAGAAAGGTGGGATACATTGGCGTGCTGTACTTCAGAGGGCTCTGGGGCCTCCAGACTGCTGGGGATCTCTTGGTTTTATTACTTCCTGATTTGGTGGGAGAGGAGAGGATGCAGGAGTTAAGTGGGGGCTTCCTGAAGGAAGTGGGTCTGCAATCCCTTTGATCACAATTCAGGTAGGGGCCTGAGGGAGGCATCTGGAGGGCTAGTTTAGCTTCACTGGGGGAGGGAAGCAGCAAGTCTTGTGATCAGGTCACTTGGGGCCCTAGCCCCCACCTTCCCAGGGGACAGGAGCTGGAATGCACTGCACTCCAGGGATCCACTGGGCAGGGGGCCAGACCAAACTTCCTCTGCTTCCACTACACTGGGCCCATCCTCAACCCACCTGCCCTTCCAGCCACCTGTTTCTCCCACCCCAGGCAGCTCCCTGCCTCACAACAGCTCTTTCTCTCTTTGGCCTGGGAAGAAGCTCAGAGGACAGGCCTCAGCCAGAGAAGGAAGCCAGTAGGACCTTGGGGACCCCTTCCCTGGGTGGGAGGGGTCTTTGAATACAGCTGTGAGCAATGTGTGTGTTGGGGGAAGGTATAGAAGCTGGAAGCAGCAGGCTCAAGCTGGTTCGTAAAGAGATGGAGGGAGGAGTGAGTGGATGATGCCCTCACCTGCGAGCCTGCTGGTGGGGCTCTGAGGAGCTCTGGTCCTGTGAATGTATATCCAGCTCTAAGAGTGTTGCTAGGACAAAGTGGCCATCCAGCAGAGAATCCTCAATGGTGAAGATGGCTGGCCTGACCAAGGGACAAGGGCTCAAGTTTGGTTACTCTAATTCTGCTCCTAGCATTCCAGAAGCCTCCCTCCTCCTGCCCCAGGCTGGGAATTACCTGCCTGGAGCATCAAAGTGAATGGTAAGAGGTAAGTTTGCTGACTCCGCAAAGCTCAGGAGCCCCTGGGAGGGAAGAAGCAGGGTGGTGAGAGACTGGCTGAGCAGAAAGAGAGGGTGGTGAGTGTAAGAAGACGGAGCTTACCCGGAATTCCTTGAGGCAGAAAGTAATGGCCACTCCTTCTGGGGCCTGCAACTGTTGGAAATCCTCCTCCCCGATGCTCATCTCAGTCACCATGGCCTTAGTGGTGCTATCTATGGGGCCAGGCACAGGAGGAACCTGAGTTTCTGGGTCCTGGGCACCCAACGCCCTCCTGTTCCCAATTCTGCTTCATCCTAGGACCTATCTAGCTCTCACCTGCCTCTTCCTTCTCCTGGTAGCTGCGCAGAATGACCCGGCGGCCACGGCCAATGCCCAGTGTCACTTCAGCCAGTGCTAGGGGAAAGGGTAGAACAGCCTCTCCCAGGATCCTGAAGGACAGAACATCAAACCTAAGGCTCACCCCTGCCAGAGCCTTTACTCTCAGAAAACCTGAAGCAGGCCAATGGTGCACGTGCACGTGTAGTACAACAAACACAGCCCAGAGAAGGCAGCTGAAGCCTGGGCAGGCATGCAGGGATAGGACCTCACGTTCATGCCCTCCCTAGAAATGATCCCCAGATCCCCTTAAGACAACTTAGAATGGGAGCTAACATCCACTTCTAGATATATTTGAAATAAGCCATAAGACAATTGTTCATTTTTAAAAAGGAAGAGAAAGAAATACGCCTCAAATGCAAACCAAGGTGATTGCTTTCCTCTTTCTCTAATCAAAGGAGTCTTCGTCACTGCTGGCTCCACAGAATCTGGCAAAGGAACTATCAGGACCTGAAGGGACTTTCAGTCCTTCAGTGCACCAGGAGAAATTCTCTCTACTTTGCCTTGTTGAATGCAAACAGCACCAGCATAAGAGAGCCCATTCCTTTCTGAGCTGGTCCTCAGGGCCTTCACCTCTGCTGGATTCCCCATTCCTTTGGCCCTGCACAGGTCCAACCTCACAGTAGGGCTGGCTTGGACCCTCACCTCCCCACTCAGCCTCTTGCTGTGGTCTAGGGATTTCTGAAGGCTAAAGCCCAGAAGTTAGGAGGCTTCCCTTGAATGGGGACACCCTTCAGAAGGATTAGGCCACAGAAACTCTTTGAAGCTGAAGGTTAAAGACATCTTCAAGGTTACTCAGGTCAGACGAGAGGTGATGGCCAGCCACAGATGCACTCTCTGAGAAGAGGAATCAGAATAGGTGATAAGGAAAGGTGAAGGCAGGCTCCTACAGAGTGACGAGAATGAGACAATGGAGCATCTGCCCCTCCATGCCAGCCTCTGCTTTTATTTTATTTATTTTTTGTGGTACCAGGGATCAAACTCAGGACCTTGTGCTCACCAGGCAAGCACTTATTCCACTGAGCTGTCACCCTGGTCCAAGCCTCTGCTTTTATTTGGTACAGGGTCTCACTACACTGCTCAACTCCAACTCAGACTCTTAGTGATCCTCCTGTTTTTAGCCTCCCCAGCTCTGAGATTACAGGCTGGTGCCACCATACCCAGTCTCAATGGATGGATCAGCACGCCTGGGCAGGGCCAGCAAGCCTCTGCTCTTAAAAAGCCAGGTTAGGACCCATGATCACATTGAGGTTCACAGGAACTCAGGAGGAAGGGCAGGGGAAAGAGGATGAGAAAGTCTTCTTAGTTCACCCCAGGATCCCCAAAGAAGGAAAAAAGAGACCCAAGTTGAACTTGCAGCAAAGGAATGCTCACCGTGCAGGGGCGCGGAGCACGTGAGGGCACGAAGCTGGACTGAAGACTGCCTGCAGGGATTCACAGTCCTGGAAGGACAGGTTGTGAGTCTTCTTCACTCCTGGATGGGCAGACAGGGTCCTCAGTGGGCCTCACTAACCCCCCTCATCCCAAGGACCCCTTGGCTGGCCAGCTGCATACTCACCATACTTGTAGTGCAGCTGGACCACTAAGCAGCTGCTCCTGTCATTAAGAGAGATGTAGCATTTTTCCACTGTCTTCTCCAGCATCGCCAGAGAGCGGAAGATGGACAGGAAGGACTGTGAGAGGAAAGCACATCAGCCTAGCACTGTGATTCCACCAGCAAGCTCTCATGTCTCAGGTAGGCTCCAGCTCACCAATGCCCTGGTATGTAACATGGGAAGAGGCATGCTTCCAGAGCTTTTCCACACCACTCCCTCTGTCTGGAAAGCCTTGAAAAACCTATTTACTGTTCTTGCCCCGCTTGAATATCACATCTCTCCAGGTCCCTGGTATCAACAGTGCTCTCCATTGCTCCCATTACCCTTTATGGATGTCCTTACTGTGCCCCTCACTGGATTCTGAGCAGGACTGTTACTCCCAGGTAGCATTTGCAGAGTTCATTGGAGTGGGGCAGTGCCAGCTGCTGCTTAGAAAAAGGCCTCACCTTCATCAGGATCTTGCAACGCAGCAGGTCCTGCCCAGGGGTGGTGGGCTGGTACTGCTGGAAGAAGAGCGGGGCAAAGAGGAAGCAGGCGTAGGCAGAGCGGGAAGAGTTCACTGTCCGGAGGGAGAGCTGAGCCACAAAAAGAAGGTAAGGGCACACTTAGGTCAGGGGCAGGTTGATTTGGTCTCATTTGGCCTTTAGTGATCCCAGGTGCCCCTGCTCCAGCATTTGCTAAAACTCTCCTTCCCCTTGCAGTCAGCACGTTGTTTCTGTGTGAGGCCTTTGTAGTCTCCCTCTGTATTGCTTCCACCACCGCAGATCAGCACGTCTGGCCCTTCCCCTCATTATCTCGAGTCTACTGTCATCCCTGAACTGCCAGTGGCCGCCCAGGGAGGGAAAGGGCGCCCCGTGCACTTTCGGCCTGGGACAAACACAGGGCTGCAGGTGATTCCCCAACAGCCAGGGAAGAAACCCAAAATTCCGCAGACAAATGTGCTCATGTTTATCCTGCCCACATGGCAAGCGATTAGTCTAGGCTCCCAACTGCCAGCTGGAACCCGCCTGTCCCCATGCCCAGTTCCTCACCCCATCATCCAACGGTTCCAGGTAGAGCTCGTCCCCAATGCGGGACAGGGAGTGGACGGCCTTGCCCAGCACTGCGGGGAGAAGAGCAGAAACGTTAGGCCGGTGCCTGGAGTAGCTCACGTGCCCGCCGCCAGGCCGGCTTAAACTCACCCTTCACGTTGCTGCCTGTCACCACACACTTCATGCTGCCTCCAGCACCGCACCCAGGCTTTGCTTATAAAGCGCGATGAGAACTGAAGCAGGCCGCGGGCCACACCCGCTCGGGGTCCCAAAGACTAACTCTGATGCTCTGGCTGTCTTTGAAGCGCGCCACCAGGGTCAGCCCCACCTCCGCTTCCTTATTGGTCCACACGCTGGCTCCTCCGTCACGTGAGAAAAAGCTCGCGGGCTCTACGGTCACGTGATGGACTCCGCTCATTGGGCCGGCCCAGTCATGTGACCCGGAAGCTGGGTGGTTGGGCGGTGCACGGCGTATCCATCGCCAGACCAGCTTCTGGCCCGAGAATAGTGGGTCACGCACCCGGACACAAAAGGCCGAGAGGCTGCCAATCAGTGGCGCCAAGTGCGTCTGTGATAGAGCGAGCCCTGCTGGAGGGGCAGGCTTTCCTAGGTCATGCAGTTAACAGTTTCTGGACATCTACAGGAGTCAAAGGTGGGAAGGGGAGCTGGGGACATGCCTTAGTAGTCTAAGCACCTGCCTAGCAAGTGCAGGGACCGGGATTCGATTTCCGGTACCATGTGGTGTGCCAGCCTTGGAACCCCAGGTGTGCCGTGCAGGCCACTGAAACCGGGCGTAGTGGTGCACACCTATAATCCCAGCGCTGGGGAGGCTGAGACAGGAGGATCACTACGAGTCCGAACTAAGTAGCAAGACCTTGCATATAAGTAAATAAATAGGTAAGGGAGCTGTTTTTTCTGGTTTTTAGACTCCGTCATTGACCCTCTTCATTGATACTTGGAGAAAGGACAAGATTCTCTGGGCAGAACAGGGTTGAAGTGTGCACCTTGCAGAGACTCGGCCGTGCCTTGGGCTCTGCCACGGGGCGAAGGAAGCAGGTCTGTGAGCCTTGCTACGGAGGGGTAGGAGCTACCAGAATGTCAAGGGCACGACTGGCAAGTCCTGTAGACAGTTTAGGAGGAATTATAGTTCTGTTTCATACTGACTTCAGCCTGTGAAAAGAGGGGGTCACCCGCTGAGGTTTTCCCCTTGCAATGGGCACTCGAGGAGGGGAGTCCCAAAGCCACTGGCTGAACCTGTGTTCCCTATCAGCATATTTTGTGGTTCTTGGAAGGGCCCTGGCGTCCCTGGCCTCCTGAAAGGCCAGCTTATACCATATTGCTCTGGTCTTGCAGGCAGGCTGAATTTGTCCCCTAGTCCTTTGCCTTCAGATTCACTTTGTTTTGTTTTGTTTTTTTATTTTATTTTATTTTTATTTATTTTTTTAATTTATGTGTGTGTGTGGCCAGCTCAGCCCACCAGGGGGCAGGGCTGGCTGGCATGTGGTGCTGGGGGATTGAACCGTGGTCCCTGCCTTCAGATTCACTTTGGTTTCAGTTTACTTCCATCCAGTCTCTGCCTCCTAGAGCCCCACAGGAGGACATTGCTTTGCTTTTCCTTAGTGACCAGTGTAAATGGTAGCCTCCCCTCACTCCCAACCTAAAGCTTGGTAGACTAAGACTTACCCCTAGCTCCACCTTCCCCTTCCCGGTTTCAATCCCTCACTGGGTCCTGACTGTGCTCTCTCTCACCACTCTTCACCTGAATGGCTACATCAGCGCTCAGTGATCTCATCTCTCCAACCTGCCCCTGCCAGTCCACTCTTCACAGCTAGAATGACCTTCCTAAACCAGGGGCAGTGACACCCACCTTTACTTGGCTTTAATCCCAGCAACTCAGGAGGCTGAGGTAGGATCATAAATTTAAGACCAACTTGGGCAATTTAGTAAGAACCTGTCTCAAAAGGGCTTGAGGTGTAACTTCAGTGGTAGAATGCTTGGCAAGCATACATAAGGCCCTAAGCTCAGTCTATGGTAGAGAAAAAAAGTGACTTTCCTAAAACTCATGCCTCTCCCTTGTTTACATCCTCCAGTGGTTACTATAAAACCACTGAACATGCAGGATATCCAGGTCCCGCCCATCTCATTACCTGTCTTCTCCCTTGGGCTCACCACTTTCTCTTGGGTTTTGTACTTGCTGTTCCCATCACATGACCTTCCCATTTCTCACATGTGGCTTCTTCTCCTTGGCTTAACTGTAGCTTCCTCTCCTCAGCTTTGTCTGGTGCCTCTCACCCCAGTGCTGCAACTATGATGCTTATCACCCCAATATTATTTTATATGTTCCTTATTCAGCAGCTATCTTTATCATTATGATACCAACCTCATATGGGCAGGGGCCATGTCTTTTGTTTGCTGCCAAATCTTTGTACCTCACACACACAGGTTCTCGCTTTCAGTAGATGATCACTAAACAGGTATTAATAACGGCATGAACCATATAAAGTTGAGCTGCTGCCAGGCGACTTGGCATAATGATGAAAGAAACAACCTTAGTGTTCAGCCCTTTGTCCATAGTGCCACCCTTCCCCGTACAGTATAGCTGTCCCCATAATGTAAAACAAAACAGCCTTAAATGCATCATAGTGGAACACGCCTGTAATCCCAATGCTCAGAAAGCTGATGCAAGAGGATCACTGTAAGTTCAAGGCCAGCCTGGGGTACATAGACACTGTAGACACTGTCTCAAAAACAAACCAGCCTTAGCAGAGCACAGTGGCACGTGCCTGTAATTCTAACACTGGCAGGCTGAGGAAGGAGGATGGCAAGTTCAAGCCTAGCCTGGGCTACTTAGTAGTACCGTCTCAAAATAAAGTGAAGGGGAGGAAAGGGAAGTCTAGGAATGTATCTCAGTGTAAGATTCCTGGGTTCAATCCCCAGTACCAGAAAAACAAAACAAGAAACTGGCATAGCCTTAGTCATTCACTTCCTTGCCATTTCTTCTTTTCTAGTGTGGCCTGCCTATCTTCATACCCACTGCTAAGCAGCTGGACCACAAGGCTCCCCCCAGGCAAGAAGGGTTTCTACTAGTCATGTTTCTGCTCCTGACACCTTAAGGCTACATACAGAGACCTGTCACCTTGAAGTCTCTGGCCACAGGGAGACAGGTATAGACTTCTGGGGCTCCTAATGAGTTTGTCCTCAGTCATTCTCCCACTCCTTGCCAAAAGTGGAAAATAATCTGAATCTTCTGCAGGGCTTAGAAACCGGAAAGGAGCCCAGAGCCAGGAGCCAGGAGGTTTGGGTTTCCAGTCCAGGATTTAGCACCTACTTACTGTGTAACTTTACACACATCTTCCCTACCTTGGGCTGTCCCTCATCTGTACTGTTAGGGGAGAACAGGGAACAACAGGAACTCACTGAGATGCCTTCCAACTTGACAGAAAGGCTAGGAGGCTCCCGAAGAGGTCCTGGACTTCTTGGTGCCCTTACGCACCTGCAGTGCTAGGGAGGAGCAGTAGCTGGTGTCCTGTTTCCTGCTTTTCCCAGACTCTGGGCTAAAGGGAGCTCTGCCAGGCTTGCAGTTGTCAGATCCAATCATGGCCTTCAGCCGGGAAGAGAAGACACACATGGCGGGGGTGGCGGTTAGAGCCATTGGGAATTGTTTAGGTTGGGCAGAGGGTATATATGGGGACCCAAAAATGACTTGGGTTTCTGCTAAAGGACAGGAAACCTGGGTGTAGCTCCAGCCCTATATATAAGTGACCACGCAGGCTAGGGGGCCTCTCCACACCTAGTTTCTTTCTTTTTTTTTTTTTTGGCAGAACCGGGGATTGAACTCAGGTCCTTGTGCTTGCCAGGTAAGCACTTACTCTACTGAGCTATCTCC